ATGTTTACCGTATTTCGATTAGAATGAAAGTAAGTATATGAAATTGTAGAATTAAAAAAATTTATTTTAACATAATAAGTTTTAACATAAGAAATTTTATGGACTTTGTCTCGAGAGATCGCTCGACCAGGCCGGATGTACTATCGATTCAGACTGAGCGGCATCATTCTCTAAATCATCGGTATAACCTTCGGCGCTATCAAAGCCAAAGGATGAAAGAAGCGCAATTACAATGAAAATTATACCTTTCTAAATTTTTTATCATCTAGCAGAAATTATCATCTTCACATTAAATCAATTTTATTTTTAGTTTATATTATTACATTTTTTATCTATAGTTTGACTTGCAATCGAGTGCTTTTATTCCTTCAATTATATTTTTATATTTTTATATTTATTTATAGCACACATTTTTTGCTTACCCTGAATAGCTGGCAGATACGGCGGTAATTCTGGTTCCTCCACTTTCTTTTCCTCCTCTTCTATGTTTTTCGAAGCATTGTTGGAATCGACATGCCCAGGAGAGCCTCCATCCGAATGATCGGATTTGGCTAATCGATCAACTGACAATGGACTTGGATTGTTATATTCTGAGCCATCATTGGAATCACCAGCAGAACCTTTATTTGACTCATTAGATTCGTCATCGTCATCACTGCTCGATTCCGAGGAATCGGACGAATGTCGCTCCGAAGATCTTTCATGTGGACTTCTTTCTCCTTCGGTTGAGTGTTTAGATTCGGCTGATTTAGATCGTACACCCTCGGAACGAACAGGACTGATGCTTTCATCCGATAGCTCTACAACTGAAGGATCCGGATTGTTACCCGGACTCATGGGTCGTTTCTCTCCTCTCTTCATCCTTCTGGCTTCCAATTCCATCCTAGATACCTCTTTTCGTCTAGCCATTTCTCTATCGGCTTCTAGTAGCCTTTCTTTTCTAATTTCTTGCTCCGTCATTTCTTTTGGATCTTTAATCTGTATCGAGATCTCATTTTGCACATCCATCTCATTAATGTCATCGGTTACAATCTCCATCGCTTCCCGTAGCTGCTTGTCCCGGTGCTCCTTTTCGCGCTCCATCTTCTCTTGATCTCTCTCGCGAGTACGATCGTGCTTGTGAGATCTCTTGCGACGTTTCTCAGATCGTTCCATCAGTTCGCTTTCCGAAAACTGCTCTTCCATGATCACTCGTACATGTCTCTGTTCCTCCATGCGAATCTCACGACGTTCTCTACCGTCGTCCACCGTACGTATTTCACGACGGTCCCGAATGTCTTCCATCCGTATTTCTCGCCGATCGCGCGATTCGCGTAAATCTCGCAAGTCCTCCACCAATCGTACTTCATGTCGAGATGATTCGATTTTATAATTCCGAGTATCACGTGGATCCTCTCGTCTTTCTCTTCTCTTGTCCAATAATCTAAACACACAAATATCTTATATCTATCTAAGTAGATTATTAAAAGAACCGATTTTCTCTCTCATATAAATAATTATTGTACTATTTACATTTACATTTACATTTTTTTGGAAGTAGATGAGAAGAAATTCTACAATTACCTTTCTCTTAAATCTTCTAGGACACGATCACCTGTACTTCTTTCCTTGCGATCGTGCCTGGAGCATTCTCTGTCTCTAGAATGGCTTTCCATTCTGTCTAAGCGTTCCATCCTCTCGCGATTCCTCTTGGAACTTTCCAAACGTTCGGATCTCTCGAGAGGCTCTCCCACATGCCTACGGTGCCTATGCTTGTCCCTGTGTTGTCTGTCTTCGCGTTCGTGCTGACGCGACTTGCGTTCTTTCTCATCTCTACGATTTCGTCTGTCGCTGTGCTTCTCTCTTCGACGAGACGAACTAGATTTATGATGGCGAACAACTGCCTGTGGTGGTTTAATATCCAAGGAGTCGGCCGTGTCGCCACCCTCTTCCTCTGAAAAGCTGTAGATTATCGAACAATTAATTCGTAATTAAATTCGAATCGATGATATTATGGACTTAAAACTTTATTGTTTTAACAATATTTATACTTTACGAATTTTTTGACACAATTGATGAGTACAATTAAAAGAAAAGTTTAATAAATATATTTTATTGCTAAATAAAACAAATAAATATATTTTTTCCATATATCCTAAAAGTAAGGACGCTGTCATGAGGAATATTTAAATACGAAAGATAAAAATGAAAATAATTGGATCACTCGTAATATAAACGTGCATTGTCTCGCCGAGTTTTGAATACCTAAAAATTCTGGGCAGCATCGCTCGTCATTCTGCTCCGTGAGACGTTATGCAACACGTTTTCATTTATCGTAAAAGAAAAGGAAGCTCGAGAGTAATCTCTCAATGGGATTGATAAAAACCACTTGATGCCAAGTCCGTCCTCGCGAATCGCAACTCGCAAATGTATTGTATGTATGTATGTACCAAGTACTACCTTCGCAGTCGATCCACTCCGATAACCGAATTTTCGAATGCCGAATGCCGAATACAAAAGGATAAAAATTTGTCGCGCAAGCGCGCACATGCGCCTTAAATGCAAATGTTATTTTAAGCTAACCTAGACAACGTCCACTTTCACGTGGCTCAGACAACAAAGAGTAACAGATGTGTAGTTGGCTGATAAAGCGACTGATTTGTCTTTTAAACTTAATTTCAAACAAAATGCCAATTACATGGCAATATCATAAAAATAAATACCTAAAATCACCCATATCCCTCGATGGACTTTTCTTAATTTCTCCGTCTTCGCTCTGATTATCGATATCCATATCCGATGTATTCGCGGACATATTCGCGCCAACGATTAACTGATTTTTAACCTATACTCATTGGAATATCGCTCGTTATTTTCGAACGCGCTTCCATTTTTAAAGAATTACAGCCCATGGAAGGATTAACGGAATAATCAGCGTGACGCTTAATTACGGATTTTGAATTGTAAATATAAGAAAAAAAAAGAATATCACAATTTTCTCTATCTGCACTCCGTACCACTAGCGACGTTACGTGTTGCGACTTCACTACAAGTTTAGTGAGAATAAAATCATGGTGGTGGAAGGGATAGTAACATAGGTCTGTTCGCGTTGCTTGCACTTTTGGCACTCGACATCTTCGCTTATATCTCTTTTTAAGACTTAAGATTTAAAAAATGTATTATATTTATCTCATTTTAAATGTGCAAAAATATTTGGGGATGCAACGCGAACAGGGTATCAATCATGAAACTTTATTCCTGGATAGAAAGAAGGATGGAAAGTGAAAGGTGAAAACTCTAACCAGAGAGAAACTTGAGAGAGAACGTGACTGGCCAAAATCTGTAATCGCAAAATACCGCGCACTACTGCCCTCTGACAAAGTAGCTGTAAACTACATAGCACGTCCACTTTTCAAGGCTGGAGATGATAAATCGATATTTGGTTCATATAGGCCGTATTCCAAGTTTACTGCCAGCACTGAAAATGCTACAGTCTACGTTACGTGCACTATAGATTTTCAGTCAATTTAAGAATACAGCCAATAATCGTGCTACATGTAATATTGTACAATTATATGAATCAATGGGTGCATTCAGAAGCAACGACCGCTCACTGAGCGCTCACTGAGCAAAAAGGGGATTAATCTGTTATTAATATGTTTATTTATTATAATTCGTAACGTAGAATAACTTTATCTACTATAGATAATCTTTAATATCATTTTTCTTATTTATTTATTACTGTTTATTATTTCTCTAATACCATGTTTAGGCCGTAAGATTATGTAGCGCTCAGTGAATGGTGGAACGTAATTTTAAGTCGCTCCATCGCTCACTGGGTTCTACATAGACAAACTTATTCTACATTACAAATTATTGGGTCATCTAAAAAGTATCCGCGGTTTTTTGTCACTAGATGTGTGTTGATGATCATATATCTAGTGACAAAGTATCGCGGATACTTTTTAGATGACCCAATATAATAATTAAACATATTAATAATAGATAAATCCCTTTTTTACTCATGAACGATCATCACTTCTGGATGCACTCATTCGGGCGAAGCCCTCGAACGAAGAAAGAATTGACCAATCGCAATAGTCATGTGATCAAATTGTTCAAATGCGATTTGTTAATTTTTTCTCTGTTCGAGATCTCGGACTGATTTCTAGCATCGTGGACATCGGGCTTTATTGAAGCTGAAATACAATTAAAAATATCGCTGAATCGGAGGACCGATTCTGTATCTTGAAATGAGATATTGGGTCATCTAAAAAGTATCCGCGGTACTTTGTCACTAGATATATGACCATCAACACACATCTAGACAAAAAATCGCGGATACTTTTTAGATGATCCAATATTATAAAAGTGAGCGAATTTACTAGAATACTGATTATTTCATTGATCAACACTTAATAAATTTGCTCGCATTTGTAATTTTCACCTTGTTTGAAGATATAGAATCGACCCCCGGCTGAAGAAAATCAATATTTCGATGTATCGACTATCGAATCGATACCGCCATCCTTACTGCGCAATCACAGAAATAACTCACCTTGCCGCTACGTTTTTCCGCCACGGCGTGCATTTCAAGTGACTCTAAATCGAAACAAGTCTGATTGTTGAAACGTTGATTCGTACGCTTTTAACAAGCAACTTAGATAATTTACATTTATTATTAGTTATATATCCTTTCATCTTTATTTATTTACATATTATACCAGCCGATTGTTATAAAATTGTACATCAGAAGATGAATAGCAATAACGACGAAGTTCTTCATTGTCCTTACAACAAGTATCATCGTATAGCTAGTTCGAAATTTCAACGACACCTTGTAAAATGCGAAAAGGTGACAATATAATTTTTTGTGCACTATGATCCGTTTTGAGAAATATATAAATGAATGTAAAATTTTCGTGTAGAATTTTCCTCCTGATTACAAGGTTATCTGCCCATACAATGCAACTCATCGTTTGAATAAAAGTGAGATTGAAGAGCACATCAATATATGTCCTATGAGAAGGACTGTTGAAGGAAGTTATATTCGACGTAAGTGTGCACAAAGTTACTCTAAAACTTTCTGACAAATAAAATTTTTAGCATTTATTACAAGACTCCCTGCATGTTTATATATACATCTTTTCAATGTAGACAAAATGCTGATAGCTACGATATAATTCAATTTTATGTAGCGCCAACAACTCATGAGATGATAAGAGCAGAACAAAACGATTCTACAAGTCAAATTGATTACAATAGCTATTGGGGAAGTCAAGAAGAAATATAAGAAATTGTAAAGGTTCTGTAAACTCCAAAATAATTATTAAACTCATGGATCAGAGGAAAAATATGAAACTATTTGTTATGACGTCAGTCAACAAAAGTTAAAACAATAATATTTGGTTACAATATATCTAGCTTCTCAGTAACAAATCACATGAGATGGAATCTAGAATATGATTATAATAATCTATATATACAAATGGAATGATTGCATAGGAAAAAGAAAAAAATAAAAAAAAACGAAAAATAACTAATAACTTTTTCTTTATCTAATAATTTTTTTTTATTTCTCAAGATAAAATGATAGAAATATAATTTTTTTTATTAATAAATCATAGGTTTTTTAGTGTTTTGCTCAAATGCTTTTATTTCACATAAATTTTGTTTATTTTTATACTTTACATCAATCCTAGTATTTACAGGTATTATTTGAAGTAAATTTTCCATGAATAAAGATATTGCCTAGTGCATATGTATATGTATATGTGTACATACACATATACACAAATGTATATACATACACATACCCAAATATATACATATAAAAAACAATATCAAACTTCATGATTAGATTATTTTTGAATCTATATATACAAATAGCATGTATGGTATTTTAATATATTATTAAATATTTCAATTGTATGTGTGTATGTATGTGTATCTTCATCTTTAATTATTTCATAAAATAATTGTACCAAAAAGACCGCTATCTAATGTAGTTCTGAACAGGATTGTCAGATGTAGGCGACATGTATGCAACGCCTACAAGGCGATATTGAGCGACTTGTAATAGGTCTTTTCTTTTTAGCTGAATTTCTTGCATAATTTAATTTTTCTTTTCTTTTCTCCAATGAAAAAATGATGAACCGCAAACAAGTTCGATTAAAATGAACAAGCCTACTGCAAAATTTGCAAATCACTTAAAAGATGATATGTCGCCTCATCTGGTAATCCTAGTTATGAATCTAAAAATTTTTAAATTTTATGTCAAGTCTTTTATCTTCCTGCATAGATACGTTGCACAAAAGTAAATGATATATAGCTTTTATCATTGAATAATCATCTTTTTTATACTTCTTTAGAAATTTAGGACTAATGATTTTTATATTCTGATCATGCAGTATCAAACTTTTTGTATGTGCAGCATGTTCAAATCATGATCCATTTAGTTAATACTATGATGTATATAAATTTATATTTACATTTAATGACAAAACGTATTCTAATGTTATCAGTGTGGGGAATTATTGAAGTAAAAATATGATAATCGTCAAAATAAATGTGACACTGGATAAATGCAATTATTACTTTTGAAAAGTAAGATTATGAATCAATGAGTCAAGATGCATATTAAATCTTCAATCAGTAAATAGCTTAGAATTTAATGCAACACAATTCAAACGCTACGTTCTTTAAATATTATAATTTCTTTGGAATGTTAAATACATATATGTGTATATATATATATATATGTATATATATATATATGTATATATATTTATTGCACAAAATAAGCAAATAAATAATGATTAATGAATGATAAAGAAATAATTTGATAGAGAAAAGATAAATGTATGTATATACTTACACTTAATCACACATATACATATATGCATTATTTTGTTAATAAAAATTAATAAATGGAAATGTCCTTTGTGCATATATGTATATAATTAAGTTATGATAAGACAGTTAAGTCACATAAAAAATAAAAATGCTCGAATCTTACTATATTCAAAGTAAAATAACATTCATATTAAAAGCAAAGTAAAACTCAAAATGTTGCAAACTAGTACACATACATGATGTAGCATTTATCTGTAAAAAAACATTTTATCTTCTTTACAAAATAAAGCCAAAAAATAACATCTGAATTATATATATATAGAGCGTGATGTGTTTTTGCATCTTTAGCAAAAGAATGCAAAGTAATCCACGAATTTGACTATTATAAACAATTTTCATGCTTTCAACTATCGTGAGGATTGACAAATAATTATACATTACAATTTTATATATAATACCTTTAAATAGTACTGCTGAAATCATTGAATTATAAATCTTATGCACATGTAGATTTCTTGTCAATAATAATTTTATTTGTAAATGTCGAGTTCGTGGAAGTATATAGTAGTCATTAATATTTTATACTAGTTTTATATTATTTAACATTATATTTTTGCGGGATATGCTTCAAACTTACCCGCTGCCACATACATCGAAAGACGTAAAAAGTAATGTTACTTATTTATGAATAATGTGATTTTGAATACTGACATGTAGCCAGTAATTATTTACAACTTTCTAAAGTATGTTTGGAGCAATATATTGGCAGTTTGCTAGCTGCAGTCTGAGTTAATGTTTTATTGTATAAAAACTGTAAATTTATTGAGCGCAATTGTTGCACAATAGCGAGATCATTGCACTATATTCTTCAACTGCACTGAATCGATGCATTTGCCTGATAGAATGTATCGTGCAATATTGACAATTATGTTAGATTGCATGCTAATCTCTCTCTCTCTCTCTCTCTCTCCCCCCTCTCTCCCCTTTCCGTCCTTCCCCATTTCACCTCCCCCTCTCTCTCTCATTCATTCACTCACTCTCTCTGTTTCTCACTCGCTCGCTCTCTCGCTTTCTTGAATGCTAAATTTTTTTACTCCTATATTTTTACTTGCAGAATTCTCATCACATTAGCACCGTTTATATATTCGTCGATCTTTTCTTTTGTTGTTTCCATACAGATATCCTTTCTTTCAAGTCGAGCACTGCAATAATAATCATCAATTTAATGCATTTTTATAAAATTTTTATAACATTTTTGTAAAATTATATATGAGGATATATGAATAATACAATCTTTCGGCAATTCTTATATTTTAAAGTTAAAATGTAAGAAGATATTAATTCCAATATAAAAAATATTTTAAATAAAAAACTGCATAATTGGTTGTGATACATGCATCACATATTTACAGAATGTATTCTATATAAAAATATGTTGCTACGAAACACTGTTATTAGACGTATTTAAGCTAAGAGAAACTTCATTTTATCGAATACTAATAAAAGAAAAATGTGAACGGTCACTTACTTGGTGTGAGCATGTCTTCGCTAAGTGGCTGCCGACTGAAAGGATCCGTGGCACTATTGAGTAAATGTCTAATGATAACTGCCTTGTCCATAACAATACCAGATGGTAGTCTGACTGGATCCTCCATAAGAGTATCCATCAATGGATCTCGGAATTCCTCAGGAGCATCGCCGTAGTCTGCATCACGCGCGCGATTATCTCTTGCGATTATCGCCGCACGTTCCGCGAGCGCTATAAATCTCTCAATTTCCGTGGTAGTTTTGATCGCATATTTGTGTAGCCTGCTTACAGCATCCGTGAATAATTCCTTACAGAACGAACGCTGGAAAAGAAAATAAACAATTTTTTGTATTAATCTGTATATTTAATGAAATGTATGAATGATGGATGGAAAGACACTAACTTCGTCACTGGCTAAAGCGGCCGCAAAATTATCACAGTCAAGATGCAAATATATATCAACCAATTGACTAAGTAACGTCCTTGGTTGCCACCCGTATTTTTGCTGTGTTCTCACTCTCAGATTTTTGCACTTAGGTCCGCACAATTGTTGCAAATTGAAATTTAGCATGGCACACAATCGCCCGACTAATTCCGGTCGTAGGAACGGTTCCTTAATGTCGACCGTCAGATAGTGGAACATGGCAACTGTTTCCTTGGCTAGTGTAAGATAAGACTTTGCTTGTCTCTCGTCTGCTGCCAGCTGCCTCGTCCTCGATTGCTGTTGCTCTTGGGAAAGTGCACTCCACGCGGTAGTGTCCGACATGAGTTCCTGCACCTCGTGTATACGCTTCAGAGATTCCAAACTCTCGTCAAGTAGAAAGGTAGTGTCGTTCATCAACATGTTGATAAACTTGACAAATTGCTTGCCATTATTGCTTTCATTGACGATAGATGCTCGATGTACCGGACTATCCCACATTGATTTCAAGATTAGACTTATGTGATAACGTATTGAAAACTTGTCGTAAAACTCGGAACTAGAGCCAGTAGTTTCAACGTCGGTGTAAAATTTCATGAGATACGACGCCAAGAGTGTCTTGGATATAGGATGCGCCATGACTTTTTCGTGGAGAATCTCCGTTCTTCCCTGCAGAAGATTACAATTGTTAACGCGCATACACACACACACGCGCACATGCACACACACACACACAGTAATGTAGTAATATAATTTAACAATAAGTATTTTTCTAATAAATTTACCTGAGGGCTAGGATTTATCACAAAGAGGACCTCGATGATTTTTGCGATTAGATACGGATTTCGTATACAATGCGGTGTACACACGACGACCAGTAGCCACGTAATAAGCGGATTATCCATATTACCACTTACCACTACTCCAGGACAGAATCTACACGCGTAATTATAATTATTAATAAGCATATCATATTGTATAATTATAATATTTAATAATATATATAACGAGAACTTACTGGAGCGTAAACACCAAGAATTCCGCTATATCCTCCACATACCATTCCGGTAATGCGGTAAATTTGCATGTGACTTCCTGAGGAAGTGGAAGTTTGGGAAGAGGGTTACCTGGGGCAGTCTGTGTCAGAAGACTCAACAAAACCTCGGCCACGGATATATAAAAGTGTAAGCATCTTCTTAAAAAGACAGGGTCTATCAGACCTGCGTCCGCACACAATTTAAATTTACTTAATTGTTCCGATTGCTGCTTCCATTGTTTAATCAAATCTCTATTATGTTCAGCGAAGGGGCTATCCTTCCACTGGGGTTCCGTGGCTTGCAATTCGTTGAGCATATTTTTTAAGTCGCGTAATGCTCGCAATTTTCTTTGATACTTTTGCAATGCCGGTAGTAACGCGATGTGATGGCAATGCAATGTCAAGAACCAGCACTGAGTCGGAAATTTCGATTCCGTCCACTTATGCGTCTTCTCCAGATGCTTTTGCCATTCCGCGACTTCCTGCGAGGTAAGTTTCAGTCTTGTGTCATTCTTTATATCAACAAAGCTGGAGGGATGAAATGGATACAGAGGGTCTACGGTGTCCAATTTGATTTTTACAGAGAGCATTTGCAAGACCGACAATAGATTCAACATAAATCCATCTCCGGCCAGAGAAAACTCCTCGGTTTGTATTTGCGCGCGTTTCTCATTGTGACGCAATAACGCGGCCAAGTACGTTAAAGTCGCATCGCGGCAATTACTGTTTGTAAGTATTGCGTAAAACATTTTGTGCAACGAAGTTCTGGTACTTTCTAACTCTTGCTGCAAGGATAAATTCACCGATTTGTCAGTGACGTGATTTCCGCTGAAAAATTTGTCAGCCACTTTCGGTTGTTCCTCAGCAAATACCGATACTGAGAGAAACGGCCCCAAAAACGAAGTCCTCGTAAGTTCTCTGCCGGCGGCTGACGTCATAATATCGGGCAAGAATTGTACTTGATTTGTAATCAGACGGCATATCGGACGTATTTTGCCGCCTGGACCGCAGCGAATTTCTATCAGTTCCTCTAGCGCCTCGATCGGTCTTCTGTGTGTATTGCCAACCAAGCTCGCTTGTTGCATTGAGAGATACAGGCCTTGCAAGACCGGGGTGAATATCTTATTGAACGTGCTTGAATTCGTGTGTGTCTTAGCTACAAGTTCGTGAAGGTAGCCTCGAGGTAAACTTTGCGACAGTATCGGATAAAGAAGATAAGTGGTACACATAGGAATAACTGAAGCTTCACAAATGCCAACCAATCCTTGTAGAACAAGGCTAGAGTACTGAACACATTGCGTTTTCAATACCGTCAGTACATTGGAAAGAGGAGGTATGCTGGATCGCTAAAACATGTGCCTAAATGTCAGTCAAAGAAATCAATAGATTTAATAAAATCTCATATGGTTTTTAAAATATGTATACCTATACCTTTGGATGATTTCTTTCCTCTATTGCGATTCTTGAATAGCAATTTAACAAATAAGTTAAACTTTTGGGTTGCGACGATTTGCTGCCTATGGGTAATGGCATAGTCGGTAATTGGTAAGACGGAAGAGCCATGACAGGACTTAGCAAAGGACTCGCTTGGTTATTCGGACTGTCTTGTCGATCGGACGATATATCTACCGTGATATCGTTCAAAAGATCTTCCCTTTTTGAGAACATACACAAAATCTCCATTAAGGCTTGGTTAATGATTTCACTAAAATCTAGCTGTTTCTGCTTCAGCGTGTACGCTGCTGTTTGTGGTAAGAATATAGTTCCTTCAACGGAGCTTTTCCACGATATGCGCAAGACGCGTGATATGACAACGTGTATGTGATCTGTTGTAACTTCTATGCTAGAGCTCGTCGTCTAAAATGCAACAGAGATAAATATAGATAAAAATAATGAATAATCTATTTTCATCATATTAGAAGAAAAAAAACAGATTCTTTTTGTTGTTTATTAATGCATTGTATATTTGTTCTATTTCTTTTTCTTTTTCTTTTTTCATTATATAAAGATACTTACACGCGATCGTGGTATTGAATCTTTCCTATCTGATTCGTCAACTTCCATGCTTTCAATTCCTGAATTATCCATTTCGGTAATATTACATTGTTTATCGTTGCTCTCTTCTACTTCCATTGGTATCTCAGCACGCTGTAATTGTTGTTGAATAGACGGAGATATTGATCCTGGGAATGCTTTTGATAACTCCGAAGTGCTCGGGGAAGTTGGAGCAATAGCATTAGACGAACTGGCAGTTGCATTATTATTGTTGAAGCCCTCTAATCGGGCTAATCGCCTTCTTCTCATCTACAGCAAAAGTGAGACAAAGGAGTTGTGTTGTGAGCTCTCTTTAGTGAGGACTATTCTGTCAAAGGTTGCTTAAAACAGACTGAAATGTTTTTGTTACTCATAAGCTATTTTTATCCATTGGTTTATCATACCTCGCAACAATAAAGAAAACAGAAGCTACAAAGTCCGCATTATATTTTAAGCGACGTAATAATACAGAAATGTCATTTCTTCGATACTATACTCTGTAAACCACTTCAACGAAAGGTTTATCATTCTTTGCATATAGGAGGCAGCATAGCAAACAATGTAGAGATGTAGCCTGTACTATATAGATACTTACGACATAGATACGGCATACTCGGGTCCGGGTTTAGAAAATTGAGCGGATGAAATAATCTCAAAATCCATAATTTGCCTTCTATGCGCAAAGAGTGGTAAAGCTCTTGAACAGAGTATATATTATTATTCCGAGATATGAACCTCAAAGAATGAAATGGAAAGTCATGTATTTGTTGAGAAATCACAATTTCATTACTTGCATAAATTTCTGCAATCATCTAATATCTTGCTAGAAACGAAGCAGACGAAGCAGTTAAGTTGATGAAAGGAAATAATAAGGAATAGGTGGATAGAAAACAAACAGAACTCTATCGCGATTACGAAAATAGAGGAATCATCAAATAGTAAACAATTGTTCCTGCAAAGCGTTTGTTTAAATATTAGAATAATCAGCCGTGCCAAGTTTTCTTTAAATTAAAGCGCAAGATTGATTTGCATAGCGTCTATTATATAAGTAAGTAATTTCTTTGTAAGCGTGTGAGTCGCTTCGTTTTACGCATGGGGGGTTGATAAAGAAGAAAACAATATATAACCCAATAAGGAAAAATGCAATTTCCAAGTCTCTCTTGAAATTGCGCGCGCAAACAATGGACTTGTCCTTCAATGACTCGTCTCAAAATTGAAAAAAAAAACAAATTCATGATGTTTTGAGGGAAAAGAAGTGGATAGAAAAGATGAGAAAAGATCACCGACGAGAGAAAAGTGCCGCACAGCACGAACACGAGAGCGTGGGTCTCGCTTGAGACAAAAAATCGCGGATATGTACGCGCGGGAAATACACACATACATACATACACACGCGCGCATACACACACACACACACACACACACACACACAAACAATGCAGAGCAGAGGAAATATTGGGCGAGAGAAGAAAGGATCACTGGGTGAGGAGGAAGATAGGCGACGCGATGCGATGCGACGAGGAGACGAAAGGGGAGGGGAGGGGAGGGGAGGGAGATGAAGCACACGCTTTCCTTTACTCACTTCTTCCTGACTGAGTTCGCTCATGGCGATCGCTCTTTATCCCCTCGATTTCGATATCCCGCCCGCTCTGTAATCTGTTTCCCGTCCGGTCTGAATCCGGAACTGGCTCGGATGATGGTGATGATCTACACTACTACGGCGGCCACGCGCCTCTTCCTCGCTGTCGTGTTCAGCGTTCGCGTAAAGAGGAGTAGGTATCGTGCTCGACACTCGTGGCCACTCGTGGCCAAGATACGTCAATGTCAGAGATCTGGACAGTCACTCCACATCTGTTTGCGTTTGGACGTGGATGCAGTGCTCTCGCGTCGAGTCTCGAGTCACGGCCACGAGTCGGTCTGAATCGGTCTGCCGTCTGTTGAATTCTTGAGTCTTGAGACCTGAGTCAATCTGACCTGACAATGAATCGGTCGGGACTGATGGGACTGATTGGACGGGCTGACGGACGCCGCTGACGACTGACGACTGACGACTGACGACTGACGACTGACGGTTGACGGCTGACGGCTGACGGTTAACGGCTGACGGATCGGGTCGGTCGCTTCGCTCTGGCTCTGCCGTGCCGTGATGTCGTCTACGGTGTCTATGGTGTCTACGGTCTGCGTGATGAGTCGTCTCTCTCTCGACAGTCTCGACTTTCGACCAGTCTCGACGTCTCGTTGAAAACAGCTGAGCAACCAACGCGTCGACACGCTGTGACACGCGCTCTCCACTTCCTTCCGTCCTTCTCACTTCTTTCCTTCACAGTTCGCTTCGCGCTCTCTCACCTCTCCCTCCACGCTTCGGCTCTCCTTCTCCTTCTCTTTCTCTCTATCGCATCTATCGGTGAGTGGGAGTGAGAGTATACCCTAAGCCCATTTTAGACGATCTATAATTCAGGACAAGAATCGAATAATTTGACGTGTAACAAGCCTACCTTATGTACGAGAGATATAAATTCATTTTCGACCTACATCTCCCTAGAGTAGTTCACTCAATTCGGCAGAGATGCAGATATTATATAGGTCAGCGCGAAATTCATTTTATTTCATTTATAATTTAATTGTGAGAAACATCCAAGTCGAAATCTATGTGTAATTCAACATTTTAACGCGCATAATAAATCTGTGATGATAAAGATTTATATATGTTATTAGATACGATATTTGATAAAAATTTCCAACACTTATTGGTGTGTTTGTTACCTCTTTCTTCGTTGACAACGGCGAATTGAATTTTCCCGCGCGCACATCGATAGATCTCCTTCGATTATCGACTCGCTCACCTTATTTTTAAATGCGCGACTGCGACAATATCAAGTATCAAGTATCAAGAATCAAAAGAAACGCAATCGATAAATGATATTTAAACGTGACGTTTATCAATATTATCTAATATTATGTCGACATAATACGAAACATAATATCAATACCAAAAATGAATAAAATTATAATTTGCCAGTAAGAATTAACTACAGGTGCCATTTTCCTGGTACTCTTGCGCTGTAACTCACGACGTTACATTTTTCTACAAACGTCTAAATTAATTTACATGCATATCGGAACACATGTTTAGCTAAATATTTTTTTTCTTGCCTTCTTTTTTCTCCACGTTGAAGAAAAAGAAAAAAGAGAAAATATGAAATGTACAAGAAGTTTAACTGAGAAAAAAATAGGCCCTTTGTGCAAACTTTCTGCAAACTTTCTTCAAAGAAGAACAGAATCGAGCTTTTCCCATATTAATTGTTCCCATAAGCTAAATAGTCTAAATTTATTTCAATTATTAAAAGCATCGACAGTCCTGTGTACATAATACTTATACATAATGTACATGTTCTAATTGCGATATATTTATATAAATTACGCTACCAACCCGCAGTAAACGAGAATTAAAATAGATAGAAATTTTATCTATCCGAATACATGTGTTAAATAAAAGCGAAAACTTTTTTTTGGATTCATTTGGGGATTCAATTAGATTCAATTGAATTGAAAAACTGCATTTCCTATTTAAAACTCTGAATTGAACAGTATTCATGATGCATAGAAAAAGCTGATATTTCGAATGCGAATTTCTGAAAATCTGAATCTTGCATTTCAATCGATTCTCAATTACAAAAAATTAAGTACACTGAATTGATCGCAACTATCTGGTCTTTTTAGCTTTGCACAATTCATCCTTTTCTTTTTCTAATGTGAATTAAAAGAAAAAAAAAAGAAGGATGAGCTAGCTGTGCAACAAGTTGAGTATACTAAGAAGGACACAGACTTCATAGGATTCGAAAGCTTGCGTTCGAACCGAACCAAACCGCGCGAGAGTGAGATGAGGTGAGGTGAGATGAGGTGAGGTGAGGTGAGGTGAGGTGAGGTGAGGCGAGGTGAGGTGAGGTGAGGTGAGATGAGGTGAGGTGAAGTGAGGCGAGGTAAGGTGAGGTAAGGTGAGATGAGGTGAGGTGAGGTGAGGTCAGGTGAAGTGAGGTGAGGCGAGGTGAGTGAGGTTAGATTAGGTTAAGTTAGATAGGACAGTTGAGCGTTGCTGAATCAGCAGCTGTACGAGTAAACGCAATAAACGCATGTCGCCGACGTCGCCGTTCGCCGTCACCGTCAGTCGCCGGCGGCTGCGAGTGGCTGCGAGGTTTGCGAAGCTGTTTGTCTGATTATCATCGCAGTCGTCCAACTAACAAGTTGTCGAACGGTAGTCAAAGACTAGGAGTGGAAAAAACTATCAGTCTTCTTCATTCTTACACATCTGCCACAATCTTCATTGCGTCTCTCGCAGCAACCTTCATAATTAGCGTCCTGGAACGGCATCCTGGCGAAATGGGCATCTGGGAAATAATCGATTTCGCATCGCTTGGTAAAGACTCGCTTTCGCAATAAAGTACGCAAAAGTGCGTTTCCCAAAAGTCTCTCATTGTCTCTCATGATATCGATTCTCGCTTTCTGTTGCTCCCATATGTTTTCAACACGTATGCTCGCGTTCCAGGGACAATTGTAAAAAGATTATATTCCAAAATTCACTGCAAGCACCGGAAATCTATATATAATAAGTTAAATTTGCATTATGTGCACTATAGACTTTTTAGCATCGACCGCAGCTGAGCGAATTTCGAATTAACACAGCCCAAAAACTACGTCCCATACAGAATCGAATGTGATTTGATTAATATTGCTATAATTTATGTAATTTATGCAACAATTGTTTCCATTGTACGCACATACATGTAAATTACATCGACGAAGGAGACATAAAAAAATCAGGCATTTCGACATTTTATATGTATATTAAGAATGTATATTGCTGCAATAGTCGAACGCGTTAAGCTGTAAAGTGTAAAGAAATTAATGAGATTTACAAGTTTGAAAATTTTAAAAATTGAAAAGATATTACAAAACTAAACAGCTTAAAAATATTTAACTTTTTAAATTAATTAAACATCTTTTAGCTTATTATCTCATAATATTGTGTTTTCGCTACAATCTAAAAATCGTTGACTTTAATAAATATCAAAAAATCATTCGGGATAGTCCCTGGGAGATAAGTGGTGGATAATCAATCTGTGATGTTAGTTTGATAATAATAAAATCCCCTGATAACGAGACTTTGTCCCCACCGTGTACTCTCAAACTGTCAAAGAAACAACTTTACAATTTATGATTACATATGCTGCCGCGCGGTATTATACTAGTACTTCTTATTTCATACACTTCTTATGTCGTAAATATTAAGATTCTGTCTCATGTTCAAATATTAATGAGAATATCGTTGTACGAAGATACACGGTTTTTCTTCACGGAAAGTCATACCACCGACATTTATTTGTAATCAAAATTACAGTTCAATTCGAGTTATAAATATTCGTAATAGAATGCATTCTCAACAAACTGAAGATACGATGAATCATTTAAATAGACATTTAAATAGATGTGGTTTTTCTTATATTAATATTTGAAACTGTTGAAAATTTTTTCTTATTTGTTTAAAATTGTTTTCAGAATATACGCGAAACGTTAGTTTTCTCGATATTATATTAAAATCTGCGAGATTTCGCGCGCAACGGTGGCGACCAATCAAATCGAACGAGACGCGTAGCGCGGGATAATTAATTGTAATTGCAGTGATGGCTGAAATTATATTTGAGTAAAATTTCAAAACCTTTTCGAAGAATAGGTATAACAAAATTAATTGAAAAAATTAAAAACTGTTATATACATATATGATTACATATAGTTTCGATATTTATTTCGTGGTATGTAAATAAATATTACATATAAGGTCCCAAAACTGATGATAAATATTTTAAAGACAGATTCTTTGTAATATTTTAAAACGGAAAGTCTAATATGAAAATGTGGAGAATATGACTATAATAGTTTTCAAATAGGAATAGTTAAAAAATGATGACGGAACTAGAATTTTGCGCGCTCAGAATTGGCAAGATGGTCAATGGATGTGAAAATGTTGAATTTTGTTATTGTCAAAGATATAAAGTTTGAGGAAGTATCTTCACATTGAGCATTTTGCCATTTTTGGGCAAAATTCTAATCTCGTCGTTCGTAATTTTTAAACTCTTCTTATTTAAAAAAACCTATTACAGTCTCGATATTTTTTATATTAGACTTTTCATCTTAATATTATGAAGAATCTATCTACAAAATATTTATCATTAGTTTTAGAACACCGTGCGTGTGTGTGTGTGCGTGTGTGAGTATGCGTATGTGCGTGCGTGCGTGCGCGCACATATATCATATATCATAGATAATGTGTAATGATATATGATAAACAATTAAATAACAAATTGATAAATACGTATCTAAATTACATATATACGTTATACAAAGTTACATTTTATACTTGGAAATGTTTATAATTGAGTTATTTTTAATTGTACGTTTGTTGTTACATTTATATACAATTCCCTACTTCATACGATTCACATCTACCATTAAAAATCATCCACAGATTTCTTACATGTCAATAAACTGATATCGCTATATCGATAAGCTGATGGATGTACCATTTTGCAGACGGAGAAATTCAGGAGCTGATAAAGGAGAGTGCGGCGGTGCGTGAGAACGCGTACTCGCCATACAGTAAGTTCAAGGTCGGCGCCGCGGTACGATGCGTCGACGGTAGCATCTCACAGGGCTGTAACGTGGAGAATGCGTCCTATCCGGCGGGCGTATGCGCCGAGGTCACGGCAATCGCGCGGGCTGTGTCGGAGGGGAAACGAAAGTTCACAGCGTTGGCCGTGGTCGCTGATCAGGAAAATACTTCGTTTACCACGCCATGCGGAGTGTGCAGGCAGTTCATGTCCGAGTTTGGCGAAAACATGCCCATCTACTTGACGAGATCCGATATGAAGAAAGTTCTACGGACTAAGGTGAACGAACTGTTGCCGCTGTCACCTTTCCGCACAAATGATACGGAGACTTCATAATTTATCCTCATTGTTGAAGGCGTTCAAACAACACGGAGGCTACAACGGAAGGCGTTGAATTTTTCTATGTATGTATTTATCCAGAGTATTTATCCAAAACCGAACATTTGTAAATCTTGTTACATATGCATGATTCGGCATCGATATCAACATAAGACTTTATTTCAATGAAATTAAGATCGATGATGCACAAGTATTATTTACAATGATGTGATATATGTATATGAGTAATGAAGTAGCTATTGTGCAAAGTGACCACGAGTTAATAGATTATGTGAACATACACACACTCATACACACATCCACACACACACACACACACACGCGCGCGCATACACATATGATACAAACTAATCATAAAATCTTGAACATAATTAATAATTTCATAAAAGTTGTAAATGCAAAAGCAGGCGATTGCACACTTACGAGGATTTATCTTTACTGAATAAAATCCATCCTCATCATTTACCAAAACGGACACCTGTAATAGTATGCAACAATGAGATCGTTATTTTTTAATATAATTTATATACGTTCTTGTAATATCAAAATAAATATTAAGTAAGTTGTTGATATATCTATATATATAATATGAAAAAAGATATACAGATTGTAAATGATAAAAATAAATAAATACCCGAAATTTTCTAATTATAAATTATTACGTACCATCCAATATAACATTGGCAAAGATTTTCGTTATTTGTAGCTTGCTGGATCAACAGATCGACTTGTTGTCGCACACTGAGAGTTTCTTCATGCGAAAAATCACGCCCTGTTAATTTATCTCTGACTCTTGTTATGATCGTCAAGGCTTTCTTGTTCAATGCTTCTGGTTGATTATTATCAGCTGCGGACATTGCAAAAGCGCAGATTGTAGATGTCACGATAATAAAGTTAAATGATTTTTTTTATATAAATTATTTTTTGTTGACTTTAAGTTTTTTAAATTTTTTATTACATTTGATCAATTTTTATTAATGTCTTTATATGTAACAGATACACACATGCGCGCGTGTGTGTGTATAAAACTGCGTGTATAAAAAAATATATAAAAACAATTTACAAGTAAGGTGACGATGTCAAGTTAAAATGATTTAAAAGTGCAATTACCTCCATTTTCAATGCTACATGGTACACCCTTCTTTGGTAATGTGGCGGTAAGAGAATCGAGCATATCGCCATGTTCCTGACTGCTACTGGCACTCATGCCTTGAGCGTCCGATCGTTTGCCCTTGGGCACAGTATTGTCCATCAATCTCCAATTCAGGAGAGGGTCATAAACAAATGCCTCTAGAACCGCCATTAGACTATCCTTGTTTCGATGTAGCACGGACATCACGGACTCGCAAGTCCTTCTATACGTTCCCTCTATTCCGGTCACCTCCATTGCATTGATCAACATTCGCGTCAAACGGAACGGTATCTTCTCCGGGAACTTTTCGCGTGTCATCGCTACCTCGAAGCAATCTCCGAAGTCGATGTGCAATATCTTACCACTGAGACGGTCGAGCATTAAATTAGACGGATGACGATCACCGAGACCGAGTATGTATCCCACCATAGACATCACAGCCAGAGAGCGCGTATAGTTCGTTCTACGATCAAACCATACTTCGCTCGACGGAGACTTCAACCACAAAAGTCGCGCTAGGTCATCGCCGTGGGTATGCTCGAGTGCGTGCTCGAATACTTCAACCTTTTGCATGAGTATGAGATGATCATAGTCAGGTGCCATCTAAAAAAGAAAAAAAAAATATATAATTATTATATATTATTATATATAAAATAATATTATAAGAAGGCAACATATGACTCCAAGAGCGATCAACTCGTAAGCAATTCGACCTGATTCGAGCCTTTTACACGAGGTGAACTCATTTTGGAAATTTACATCATATTAATTCAAATATATAAGAAAATAGAAAATTTACATTCTCATATACAATGTATACTAGACAAATTTCTTAATATAAAACTTAATATAAAAATTTTTAAAGCCTCCTCACTCGTAACATTATCCTATGCTCGATATTCAATAATATTTTCTTCTTCTCTCTGTAGTCTCTAATAAGCGTATGAAGCGTATCACAATGCGGTACCCAACCGATAAGACCACTATTTGTGGATAATGGAATCACAGCGTATCTCTAAACATAAAGTCACAATATTATTCATATATTTCTTTAACAATTATAATATTATAAACGCTGTAACTCTCTTACTTGAATAGTAAGATTTCTTCGGAAGGTATCCGGATCATGTAACAAGAGAGTGTTCACTAAACCAAATAACTGCATTACCCTTTCATCTTGTCTCAGATCCTCATGACCTTTCAATAGAAACATATAATCCTTACCGTTACTACCTACAAAATACATAGGTATAAAGCAAATCAATATTATCAGCTTTTTTTTTATATATCATCGAAATATTCGAACCTAATTTGCTTTTAAAAAATAACTGACCTTTAATGCACAACTTTCTCGGCCTCTGTTTGCTAGTTATCACCTGCATAGAGCTATGAATGCTTGCTATTCTCACGATAGGTTGGCCAGGGCTATAGCTTCCCGGAACAGCTAATTCCAAATCTCTGCAAATGAGCAATTTCGGACTGACGTATTGTAATTCCAAACTGGTCAATTGTGGCAATTGTCGGGATATCCTCCGAAATACGTGATAATACAAATCCCAAGCTTGATTTAAATCTCTCACGTTCCGAGATGTTTTATATCGATTACACCATTCCTGTGCTTCTATTAAATCCCTTCCGTAAGCTTGATTGAAGGACGTCTCTTTTAGAGTTTGCGGCCCTCTTTCGAGCATGGCGTGTAAAGGCTCTAAAGTGTCAAACATGCCTCTAACGTTCCTCTCCCCAAAATATAATCTACTAGCCTCTTCTAAGCCCTCGTGCCACAGTTCGTGCCATAAAATCGCAACTCTAATGAGCTCATCACTCGCCATCATGGCCTGACCAATGTCGGACTATGTTCACACATACTCTTCAGAATTTTGTTAGCTGCGGTCTTCCTCGCGTGGCTAGCACTCTTTGAAGCCACTGTCAACGGATAAACCAAAGCCTGAGGGTGCGTTTTTCCTATATCTATGAGAAGATGATGTATGCATCGACCGACCAGCGCTCTAGGAGTGTCGATTCTGGCTATGAGTTGTGGAATCACTTGCAACCAAGTATTTATCTCTATTAATCTTATGCCTTCGACCACAGCGTCATATACCTCTGGCCACTGACCATAATCGAACCAGAGTGTAAGCAGGCGGAGGGTGTCTTGCAGGGAGTTACCATCCGACAAGTTGATGGACCTGAAAAATCCCTCCACAGCTGGGACAGTAAATTGAGATATATATTGTGAGCTGGAGAGATTATTGCGCGCTCCGTTGCCTGATGCAGCCTCTGTAGGAGCAGAATCACTACCTTGCTGATGCTTGTAAAACAAAACGGTCTCGTAATTGGTGTAAGCGAAGGCATGCCAAGCTTTATACCATGTGGGATCATGCTCCGTCGCTGCGGCATAATAAGATAATACCGCAGGAATAGAATGTTCGTTTATACCCTGCAAGGACTCCAGCCACTCGCCGAGCTTAAGATAACACCTGGCGAGCAATCTCTTTTTACTTTCATACTGCTTCTCGTCCTCTTGATTAATTATCGCCGCTGTTGTCGGCTGTAAGTAGGTCTGCACAAATCGTTGCAGCTGATTGTAAGCCTCCTCGCGTTTATTTGCAACCCACAAGTGCTTGCAATAAGCGAAGGTTACCTGGGGATGAGTGGTCGGCAGCGGCTGCTCTGGAGTCAGGGATGGATCTGTGCCCATCAGCATTACCAACGTTTTGTGACACAGCATCAAACTACCGCCCTTCCGACAAAGACTGGCATATTTAAGCCACGTGTACATGTCGTCGTGTGGTGAGACTACCAGCGTGTGTACCTGTATGATCTTCTGCCAGTCTTCTACTATCTTTTGTCCACCCTGAAGCCTTTCCCACCACATGGCCTTGATGGCCGCTCTACGTTCGGGCACCAGCTTAAATTGGATTACTTCTTCTAACTCGGCCAATTTCTGTACTTCCACCATGGCGTTGTACGCCCGTTGATAGCTCTCACCAGCCATGGCGGTTAGTTCAGTGTCTAACAGATCCCTGGCACTATCGATAAATTGATGCGCGACGTTGTACTGTTCATCATGGATCGCCAGTACCGCTCTGTAAAACGCTCCATCTTGGGTATCCTTCGGTATCAATGAAACGTACTTCTGCATACTTTCCCATTGACCCAAACCCCACGCTGCAGCTGCCGCCATTCTCGACATTCTTTGCTTGGTATCGTCGGTCTGATTCGTCCATTGTTTTGTAGCAACCTCATGCAATTGTCCCCATTCTCCGAGAGCCTCCAGACAACGCATCTCTCCCAAAGTAGACTCCACATCTGCGGAATCGCTCTCCAGACGTTCCTGATACAGCTGCAACGCTTTATCCCAGTTGTGAAGCTTCTCGTACCAACGTATCTGGACCTTGAGATCTTGCTGATTGTGATTCATTACATATTCCAACAGACCTTCCGCCGCTTCTTTCTGTTGAAGTTTGTTATTGATGGAAATCAGGGACTCGAACACGCTGCTGTTCCTGCTCTTATGGAACTCGTCCTCCTTGTAGTGTAACGCCTTGGCATACGCACGACAATGCATCGCCGTATCCCCGAGAATCTTATTGTCTAATGGTAGAGGACCCTTGTCAATATGTTCCATGAATTCAGCCAAGTTCAGAATGGTCTGCGTCACTTCGGTGGGCAGATCGGGGACCATCAACGCTTGATGCAGAGTCTGTATCAGTTCCGTCCGGTAGTTCTCGGCAAGTTCGGTCCAGCACGAGACGAAAGCCGCGTTGAACAGATCGCGCGGTAACACAGCGTAGGTTTGCGCCAGCGCCCAGCAAGATCTCAGAGCCGGAGAGGGGGATTCTTTGAGGAGACCGATAGAGAAGCATCGTAGCCATTCGAGCCAATCGTCCTTGGATACCCGTCGTGTCGCTGTCCATGCCTTCTGCAAATTCGAAGCCGATACGTTCAGTTTCTTAATTGTTTCCGAAGGCGTTAAGGAGAACTCGCGATTCTTATTGCGCGAGTGTCGCATTCTCATCAGTAAGAAATCTTCGCCGTCTGCCGCTGTCGAGTCTGTGAGTATCTTGTCTACTAGAACATCATATCGTGAATTGACTATCTTGTGCTTCGTCATAACTTTCTGGACTAACACGATGAAAATCTGATACTTCTTGCCCAATTGCATCACGACAGCGCAAAGTGTGTCCATGGCCGTGCTCCTTAATTCTGGACATTGGTCCAACGTACG